CGGTACAAAGTGAAGGTGTGACACCTTGAATTCTAAAGCCTACCCTCATCCCGCATTCTCTGTGTGTATTTTCACTTCATTCGACCAGCAGGAGTTTCTCGAAAATTGGGTTCAATCGTGTTTCCCGCAGTTTTAAGCGGCAACGGCGGTGACGCAACGCCATGTTTTTTTTTCTTTTCCTGCCCCGGAATTCGACTCTGCAGAGCGTTCGTGTTCTCGGCGGTCTAGTAATCACTACGAGAAGACGTTCATCAGAGCCCGTAACTGATAAATTTACGTGATAAGTATTTTTCGCACCCCTTATTAACAGATTGCTCTTACTTGCCGGCGCATTCGGTAGATGTGCTGGAATGGAGACGATCGCGACGGTTCTCGAATTCGAGGTCTCGTGTAAAAAGAGTTAGCGCCGAGTGCGGTCCTGAACGTAGCGCAGTGTCAAGCCAATCTTCGAAACTAAGGAGGGCTGCTACACAGGATGGCTATGCCAGTCTGGTCGCGTTCAACACGAAATGCTTCTGCGAGGAGCTGCACCGTGGCGCCACTGTCGCTTCCAATTGCTACAACGCACACCGAAGAGGAACTCTTTGATAAAACATTTGACGTCAAAATCACTGCCGCCGCAGCTCAGTGTTGCCAGTAGAGCGGAAGTTAGTAATTCGGACGTGTAAACTTCAAATTTTGTTTTCTCAAAAGAAAATAATATTTTGATGATATTTTTCATAGACTTATTTAGGGGTAAATATATAGTGCACGCTGAATGTTTTATAAGAATCGATGATCATTAATATTTTGCAGAAACTCTCCTTTAAAAAGGTTCACTCAACATTCCGAAAAAAAAAAACGATTGCGCTGTCGAGTTTCGAGGCTGTAGTTATGTTATTCTTTCTCTTTTAGGTTTTAGGAGGACGTTTTCGTTAGACTGTGAGCGCAATATAAGCAACATGCTGTTCGTTCTTTTCGCTGTGGTTCTTATTCTACCGGCATTTCAAGGCGGTAAGTCGTATAAAGATATAGATATTTAACACATATAACATTTTTTTCTGCTTTCTTACGCAATATTTTTTGCCAGGTATACTTTAAGAAACACCTTTTATTGAATGCCACCTCTGCTCTCTGAGCGCTGTTTGATATTGCAACCAATGTTTTACAACATCATGTGTCTGACGAGGTTGTAATAAGTACTTTTAATACACACCTGACCAAAAGGAAGACACTGCATACCATTTAAAGGTGCCCTGAGGCGGTTTCTGAGATCTCCTAAATATGGCGATAACTCACTCTGCGGGCTCTGAGCACCCTAGAAATTCGTAAATCATAGCGATGGCCGATTTCCCTATTTTTAAAGCAAAGATTGAACACACCCAACGTATCTCCGGCGATGAACGGAGCATTGCTGCGGCAGCCAGGATGACATGTGACAAATGAAAACGCCACATTTCGTTGAGATTGCCAACGCTGTTGTTACAAAATGTGTATTCTTTTGTAGATGTTAAAAGCAAATAAGAGGGTAGTCCAAAAATGTTAGCTTTTCGCCTAGAAGGAACATATTACTGCAATAATCGCACGAATAACAGCGCAGTATACTTCTTTTTTTTTTATTTTGTTATCTTCCGCGGGAGTGATGTGTCCGGTGGTCAGCTCTCGAGCGCGCGGGCTGCGTTGAATCGTAGTCCGGGCTGCAAGAGCAATGAGCCGCGCGCATTTGAGGTATCACTCCGCGGCTCCACCGGTCGGTAGGCGCAGGATCCTTCGCTTGCCATTGGCTGAAAGTAATCTTGGTTTTGGAACATGCTCCTCCCATCGCCGAAAACAACCTCGGTGTGTTGCGATCTTAGGGAAACGTGTATTGTGATAAATCAGGGATTTCTAGAATGCTTAGAGCCAGCGGAGTGAGTTAGCAGGCGATCTCAGAAACCTCCTGAGGGCGCATTAATGAGTCTCAAGCAGGCTGCACTGTTCAACTGCTGCTTTTTCGTCTATTGCATGCGTTCAAGCAATTGTATAATCTTGATGTCGCAAATGAAGCCGTCGCGACCCTCCGGGGTAATGAGATTTTGAGCAATCAATTATTAAAAATTCAGCTAATGTGTGGTGCTAAAAATGACGATGATCATGTTTATCGATATCTACGGATGTTTTGTGCAGATCGCCTAATTTGCAAATCTGACATTACAATGTGTGGAGACCAGAGGTTTCACGCATAAATATATTTACAAGTATCTACAAGCAGAATAAGACTGTAGTTCGCATCGCCTGATGCAACCGCCGAGCCGTCGTCTCCGTGGCACTACCGCCACAAATGTTTTATCGAATAACTTAGAATGAATTTAATTACAAATAAAAATGATTCACAAAAGTGGAACTTAATATCAAAGTTTAGTTAGGCAAACTTGTGGTTACAATACTAGGAAAGTAACAGCATTTTACGCAATACTAACGCAAAAGCACACTATATGCTATTATAATGAAATTATTGCAAAAGTGCAAGCGAGCTGGAGAAGAATAACAATAACAACCACCGGAGAAGGCGAACAAAAGACAAACACAAATCTCCAAACTGTGTTTACAGATTTGCTCTGTTTTGAGATTTATGTTTAACTTTTGTCCCCCTTGTTCCCCTTCTCCAGGGATTATTCTCAGTGGTAGCGTTTGCTCGTACACGCAATACTAAAATTCACATTAATATCCTTCCCTTCCTGTACCTTTACAACATTTTTTTTTAGAGAGTTTTGTGTCTGCTACTTCTGGGTGTTTGAATGCACTTGAACAGGGCGGCGGAAATATATATTGTCAATTATCTGGATATAATGTAAGTCTTGCGAACAATCAAAAACAAATATATTTCGAAATAATCGAAAGGGTTTTTCTATTTTTTTCATAACGCGAAGACTAATTATTTAGTACCGCTTTTGGCAAAATCCTGCGTTTAGTATGAAAACCTGTAACATTATAGTAAACACTCACAATGTTACCAAGTTAGTGACACATCGCGTAAACACAGGGGTACATAAGGCGTAAATACACGGCGATCTTAAAATGTCGTCATTGTTACTGGTTTCAGGGGGAGCATGTAATTTGACAACCTTAAAAGCAGTAGGAATTCAAGAGGGAAAATGCCTGGACTTAAAATGTCTGAAGGGTTTTATTTTAGAAACATGTTCTTGCGTAAAAATATTTTCCTATTAGCACGAACGAGTACCTGTGGTTTCTGGTGGTCAATCGTTTTTGTTTTTTTTCGCTAAGGTGACGCATGTTCCTCCACTAGCATAATATCACACATTCATAAGTTATTTAACACCTGGCACAATCTCACAGAGCTCTACGGTACGCTTGACGATCACCGCCGTCATTGATGAACTCACACACTAAAAGACGGTACTAAGAGGGGGGGGGGGGGGGGGGTCGCCTCCTCTAAGCTTGTTCGCTTCTTTTCTCTACTTGTTTGAAGAATGCGGTAGCACTCTTGTTCACTGGAAGTGGCAGGCTGACTTCGACGATGTACACCAGCCACACCTCACAGATTATTTCGAGTTTTGTCATCTGTCTTTAGAGAAGAGTGTTAGCCGTACCTTGAGGTCTTTTCGGTTTACACTCTAAGAAAAAGTGAGCACCCCCCTTCGTCATCATGCGTTTTGACGGCTGTAACGACCCCACAGGCTTACTTAACTACCCACTGGGCTCGAGCCATTGAGCGTTACAACCCTCTTGGCAGGTGACAAGCATGGGGTAGTCACGTTTTATAAACTCTTGAATTGAACATTCAAGTACATGCAGTCGTTCAATAGTAAAAGTCACTTCAAAAATCTCGAAAAGTACTTGAAGCTTGTTTTCTTTGTGCGTTGGTTACCATTTATTCAATTTTGAACCGGTCGAAACAGGCGTGTGGCTCAGTTCGCCTAAACTGGCAGAAAACAAACAAGTACAGGCAACCTTGGTAGGCACCTACTAAAACCCGAGACAGATAAAAAGTATCGCGGTTGTTCTTCTTGCTTCCGTCGCGGGTTTTACCCAACGCTTGTTTTACGGTTTTACCGTGTACGTTCCACAACAGAAAACAGCTGGCAGCTGGCGTCGTGCTCAAGGAATTTAACCAAATATCTAGCAAAGCACGGGAAGCTACGCACGGGCGTGAGTTGACTTGAATGTTCGTCGGAACGAGGTAAGGATACTCTTGTCGTCTTTTATTGTGCGGTTCAGTAAAGAGCGTCTTCTCAATAAACGTGTGCTCGGTCAGTTCTGCGTGCAGATAAGTTGCAAATGGCCTCCTCGGTTTTGCCAAACTTCCACGCCTGTCATACCCATTATTTTTGCCTTCAAGTGCAGTGAAGTATGAAGCATTGAACACCACGACTGAGGCCGGACAGGACGAACGTACACAAATATCTGGGATCATGTCCGTGTATTTCAGTATTTCTCTGTCTCGGGATATAGGATTCACCTTCACTGGCTCATTTGGCTCATTTCATCGAGCATATTTGATATGTGCTCAGAGCTTTGGGACGGTCGCACGACAGACAACATCCCAGCGCGAATGTTCGTTCAACCGGTCGTACGTTCAAGAGGTCGTACGAGAAACTTCCACATGTCTGCCCCGCACATTAATCGAATTTCTCGAGGAGGTTGCATTGAGAAGAGTACCCTATGTCGTGCACCTCGACCGAAAAGGGTGACCCAAATGCTCACGCCATTTGGGTCACCCTTTTCGGTCGGCCCGTGTGTCACTGGGGAGCGTCTTAAGCCAGCCCCCCACCTGCGTTCACGCCGCTTGGCGGCGACAGTGTGCGGCTAGTAATTATAAAACTAAAAACCCACTTGATCAGCAGATTGTACAGGCACTGTAGACAAAGAGAGTTTCCCACCGCAGGTTAGCACAATTGTTTATACTGCAGTGCTCGTCTCATTTCAAATGTGGACAGCATACCTCGAAAGGAACCATTTACTTTGCCATGTAACACTAATACAATAAGCATATTTACAGGCTCTCAATGGGCACTGGCTGTTTAAAATAATACGTCATAACGAAGACACACGTGTCCACCATTGTACAGGTCCAAGTGCTGATGTGAGGCCTCCAGTTCATGACCACATTTCGAGAGTTGAAGCACCCCTGTTTTGGTCACTTCATTGGCACAGATGTGTTGGTGAAAACAGTTTGTAGCAAGTCTCTCAAGCAGTAGGAAAGCATCATTCTTTGAGACATAAATGTTCCGTACCTGTGCAAACTGGGGGACTTCTCCGGTACCCACCACCAGAATGTCGTCTACCCTGTAGTCTCCGGCGTCTAGAAACACGCTTTTTGCTTCCAAGAGATCCGCTTTGCACTCTAAGCTTTGGGCAGCAGATGGCAAGCTAGCTTTGTCAACAGCTCGGGCACACATCATTCTCGGGCATAGAGGGAACTTGAGAGAGTTCATTTCGTAGCTCTGCAGGAGTTGGTGCCGAGTCGCAAGGGTTTTGCAAATGTTTATGAATTTTTTTACTTTTGAAGCCATGGACTTAAAGTACTGGTGCTTCGCCTCGAAACGAAGGCACCAGTACTGGCGCAGTGGTCCAAGGGCCGCAGTCAGTCTTGCGTAGTGCACCATGTAGTGCAACTTTGGGAGGACTTTAGCTGTAGGATACAGTGCCGTGAATGCTTCAACAAAGTCTTTCACTAGGACTTCAAGGTACGCGACCCAGTCCTCAGTAATCTGTTCAGACAGCACGAGAGTGACAATGTTGTGCAGCTGGACGAGCACACTCCAGTGCTTGTTTTCTTCATCGACAGATGTACCGAATATTAGCGGAAACAGCCTGAACAGGCACCATTTTTGGGCCGCTGTGCCTTTAAGGCTTGCGCCCCCTTGAAGGAATGCTGCTGTCAGTGATTCCGGACGGTTTTTCCTGTCATTGTACCCATAGGGAAAGGTTTCTACCCTCTTAAGATCCTCCAGGGTCAGTGCTCCTTCGTCAATCAGACCTTTGGTGACGTGCCTTATGATGTGAGCAAATGCACCCTCAAAGAGGTCGTGCATCATGTCAGGGGCCATTTGTGTAGTGACGTCAAAATAAGCCAATTGTGCCATTGGAGATGGGCCCACAACGCCATGCAGCTTGCGACCTTCTTGCGGGTTTGCTTCGGCTGCGGCTAGATGACTGCTGTGGTCAGCCCTTGTCCTGATCTGGCACTGCTCTTCATTTGTCACTGTATGAAGGTTGGCAGCTGTTGCCATGCAGTACCGACATACATGCCCCTGAGAGAAGCTTGCCGAAAACCCTCCCAGCTTGTGCTGGGACAAGTTGTCACCACAGACTGCCACCACAAGAACCTTCATGGTTTCTGGGACGCCATCTACCGTGACAGTAAGGCCTTGGCAGCCGAGCTCCTCCAACTCATCGAGGACTGGTTTCAAGATGGCAGAAAGCCCGTGCTCTACTACGTCTTTGAACTTTTCCAGAACTACCAGGTAGACGGATCCCAACTTGGACCTGTAGCGTGGGTGCATATTCAACAATGTGAAGTACACTGTTGTGAACTTGTGGACTCCACGTTTCGCACCTAAAGGATTGGCTATTTCGACCTCGTCTGAATACAATATCAGAAAGAGTGTCATTACGGACGCGTCTGTGACAACATCTTGTAACCCCTCGTACACGGTTCCATCCCTGAAGTCTCTGTAACACTTGTATCCTGCGTCCGTCAAGTTGGGGTTATGTGCATCAATGAAGAGTCCCGGTTTCGTCTTCAACTGGAGCAGATTGCTCAACACTTTTCCGATCGACACATATTGAAAAGTGTCCCCGTCATCTCCAAGTGCCATTTCTTCTGAACTTGCGAAGGGAAATGCATTTTTCGCAAACTGCTGTCGTGCATGTTTTGACTTCACGCAGCTGAAAATCTGGTCAACAAAGCTGCAGTCAAGCAGTGATGCCAGGTCTCTGGGCAATGGATCCAAACTGAATGGCAAGGCCTGCTTAACCTGTTTAGCAAACCGGTCTAATAGAGCCTGCAGCATGAACTTCATGTCCGAAAACAGAGTGTCTGCTGCACTGTGTGGCACCTTGTGCTCCTCCGTCAGCTTAAAAGAAACATGCAGACTGTCTCGGTGATGGTTGCAAGGAACTCTTGAAATGTTTGATGCTTGTTGATGGATGGTGGTTCATCATGGCTTTCCTCTTGTGGAAACGGGTCATCCTGCAACGTCGCTTCGCACTCCATGGGGATCTGTGGAGGTTCACTTAGGGAAATGACATCCTTGTGCCTCTTGTATAGATGTTTTTTATAAGACTGGACGTTTCTGTATGACTTGCCGCAACTGTCTATGGCGCATGTGACTGAGAAGTTCTGCTCACCGCCGTGCACGAGGCCAAGATGAGAAACCACCAGAGTCATTTTTGGATCAAAAAACGTGCAGCGTGGGCAATAGTAGAACGAACTCCCCTCCATGGTATTACCGTATTACTACCGAACTGCACTGTTAACACACGTCACCACGAATGTAATTTCGACCAGATTATCGTGCACGGAGCCACGGAGCGGCACCCTCGAAAATGGAACTCTTCATAGCGCTCGTAGATCTTTATTTCGGAGTGTAAACGGGAGGAAGGGAAGGGCGGAACGAATTCATAAAAAAAAGGAAAGAAAATAAAAATCAGTTTTTTTTTTTTTTTTTTTGGGGGGGGGGGGTGGAAAAGAGGAGGGGAAAAGCGCGCGCGCGCGCACGCGCCGTGTGTTTGAGCGAAACCGCATTGAATTGGCGCGCAAGTTGCTATTGCATCCTTCAACATTGTTACCCGTGCCCCGGAAAAGCATGAGTGTCACCTGTGTGGTTAAATACAAGGAGTCCTGTAAAAGACTCGTTGTGGACGGCGAGAAAACGGCGTCTGATGTGAGGGCGGCACTTGTTACCAGCCCCTTTTTTAAAGACCTTGTCGACACCATCCTCATACAGGTCTCTACTTTCTTTATACATAATTGGCGAAGCTCCGGTCGATAATTCGGGGCAAGGGGGGACCAAAGTCCCACTCCAATGGCTCCGAAGGGGGAGGGATTGTGGCGACTTGTAGTAACCTGATCACGTTGTGACGCATCCGAGTGTAGCTGCGGATTGCGGGCCTAGCCGGCGCGTGCTCAATCCGTGCTCAACGCGACGGCACGAGCTCCCGCCCGCTAGCATTACAAAGCTCTTGCGAACGATCTACGAAACATTATGTTCTGCTATGGCCTATTCTGACGACCGGCTGCATATCTCATTTTAGAATGTGCCCTCGCTCATTCGCTAATGTCTGCTGTGGCCGATTTTTTAAAAAAAAATTTTATTAAATAGTTTTTGTACATTTTTAATATTTGTACGATATCTCTCACCCCATATGTTCTTTTCCCGTCAAAAGTTGCAAAGACATCGTGCATAGTCATGTCATTCCTACTCTTGACTTCGCTACCCATGCTCTTTTACTACCCTATAATACCATTATTTTTTAAATGCTATACTATTCTTACTGCCTCTCACATTTCTTTTTTATTCTTTTCTGCTCAAAACATTGCAGCGTTATAGTTGTTGTTCCTTGAAGTTTTTTCATACAAGAAGAGGCGATTGGCCAAGGACCAATCTAAATAATAATAAAATAGTGTTTTGAAATTAAAAAAAGGAAATTATTTTGTATTTTTATTGCATGCTTGATTTTTTTTTCACGTCATTTTGAAGTATTTTTTATTGAGTTAACTTGGGCCAGGGGCATAGCCAGGGACTGGAGGGAGGGAAGGAGAATATAAAACTTTACCCCCCTCCAAAAAAAAAAAGGTTGCTGATTTTGTGATATACACACGCATTTTGACGACCCCCCCTCCCTCCCTCCCCCCCCCCCCCTTTTCTCCGCACCCCAAGTCATGGACTTCCCAGCCACCTCACGGATGTCCCAGCCCCACCGCCCCACCCCCCCCCCCCCCCCCTTGAAAAAAATTCCTGGCTACGCCACTGACTCGGGCCTGTACATCCATATGCCTATGAAGTTGGGTTGTTCATTTTCTTGTGGGAAAGATGAATGAAGGCCAATCACCTGAGTTCTTGTGTTTAGGCTTGGATGTTTGTGAACAGTTGAGCTAGGTCACATATTTATAATCTGGTTACAGGTGAAGGACAACGTACTTAACGAGTTTTTTTATATTGACGAGGCAACCATCGTCGCGGATGGGGATGTGCTACGACTGGTCGAAAACCCATTCCTGGATGTTACGGCTGTACAACCTTTCCAAATGTTGGTATATTTCAAAACATTTAATCCTTGAACAACTGGTCTGTGTGTTTGTTGTAGTGAGTGTGAGGGCTGTTTCAGTTTCAAATATATAAGCAAAAGAAAAAAGAAATGACTATATATTTATATACGTTATGCATGTTGTTCTCGGAAGGCCTCAGAACCTCCAAGGTACCGCAAGCTTGGAAAAATGCAAACATGATTCTGATCCACAGGAAGGGGGATGTTAAAGATCTAAGGAACTATATACCCATAAGCGTCCTGTCTGTACTGTACAAGTTGTTAACCAAAGGAATCCTTAATTACATAAACATTACCCTAGACTTCAATGAACCAAGGGAACAGGCTGGATTTTGGAAAGGTTACTCAACAATGCACCACATTCATGTAGTCAACCAGATAATTGAAAAATCGGCAGAATATAATGGACTCCTGTACATGGCATTCATAGATTACAAAAAAGTGTTTGATTCAGTTGAAACTGCCGCAGTCATAGAAGCATTGAGGTACCAGGGAGTTGAGGATACTTACGCAATGCTATTGGAAGATGTATATATAACGACTGTACAGGAACACTAATCCTCGATAAGAAGACCGAGAAGTTCCCCAACGAAAAGGGCGTGGGGCAGGGTGACACAATATCTCTGAAATTATTCACACCCTGCCAAGAAGGAGTGTCTAGGAAACTTGATTGGGACAAGTTAAGGATGCGAGTACATGGGGAATATTTGAGCAACCTTAAATTTGCGGATGACATTGTCCTCATAATTTAGTTTGTGGAGGATCTGCAACGAATTATTCAGGATCTGCAAAGGGAGAGTTCTGTCGTTGATTTAAAGATAAATATGAAAAAATCTGAAGTAATGTCAAACCGTCAGGCAGGCCTTCAGACTAGGCGACGAAATACTCAAACATGTGGATGAACATAATTACCTCGGGCAGATTATAACGACGGATCACAATCATGAGAAAGATCAGGCGTAGAATTGGTATGGGGTGGAGCGCATTTGGGGAAGCACTATGATGTCGTTGAAAGACTAGTATACAACTAATACATGCTTCCAGTACAATCTTATGGGGTCAAAACATTGGCCTTACTAAACTCGTGGAGTGAAAACTTGGGTCAGCACAAAGAACAATGAAAAGGAAGATGGTGGGGGTGGCACTTAGGTATAGGAAGTGAGCATCATGGAGTAGAGAACAAATCCAGGTAGAAGACATCCTAGCACAAATTAAAAGGAAGAAGTGGAAGTGGGGCCGGACATGTAATGTGGAGGAGCGACAACAGGTGTACTCAGGGACGGACACAGGTATTTCTTGAGGGGGGGGTCAGGTGTTTGTCAGTGTATCATATGTTTAAGACCCCCCCCCCCCCCTTCCACCCTTCCCATTTCCACGCCATAAATATTTACGAAGCAGAATTCAAGAGGGGGGTCAGGACATCCGAACCCCCGCCCCTCTATATCCGCCCCTGGGTGGACTACTCGAACGACAGAATGGGTACCAAGAGACGGGATTAGAAGTAAAGCCAGGCAAAAGACTGGATGGATTGATGAAATAAGGAAATTTGGAGGGAAAAAATGGACCATGGCCTAGCAGGATCCAAGTGGTTGGAGTTCTGTAGGAAGGGCCTTCGTCCTGCAGTGGACATAGAAGAGGTTGATGATGATGATGATGGATACATCACATGCGTGTGGGACTGAGCTGTGTCTTTTAACGTTATATTAGGTCGAACGTACTGTTTCATGTGAATGTCAGATAGATGGTGGACAAATTAAAGAGGGCATGCTTTTCTCTGCAGTAGTGTTCCTGATCTTGAGATTAGCTACGACAGCACTGCATCTTATCCCGGCCCTGCACTCATAGAGCCGACCCCTGGACCTTCGGGGTACAAGTTCCACGATTTCCCGGTCAACATCTGTCAAGAGATTACGGGGACAAAAGAAGGCCAAGTGTCTGGAGCTTTGCGAGCGAAGATCGTAAAGCAGATTGTTTCTGCACTATGCGTCAATACTATGTGAGTATCAAACCCAATGCAGCGTTTGTTTCACACTTTTCGCTCATTAAAGGGGCCCTGCAATCATATTTAAGCGTCTATCTTTTTGCGGTTTTTACGTCTCTTGGAGTTCGGGCAAGCCAGCGGGCACGGAGAGAGTAACTAAATATTGGTGTTATAATATTTTAACCGGACGACGCGGAAACCTCATTCACCGACAGGGGCGACCCGCGGTACCAAAAGCGCGCAAAATGTTACGTCTTAGGTCCTGGGCTTACCACTGGTCAGAGCTGCTGAAAGCTTCTTTTTAGTCGAAATACAAAATATAAGCGGCGCGAACAGTTTCAGTTATTTTTAAAAGAAGATTTTGTTCAGTATTTTTGATCAGAAAAGAAACGAATGCCGTTTATAAACTACGGAAACAAGAAATGACCCGTCGACATACCCGCCACCAAGCGGTGGAAAAGGCGGCGCATACTAGAAAAGAGTAGTGGGATCAGGCGCCGACACGGAAAGGTCCCAGATGTACACGGTGGCGCTGCGGTCGTTTACGGACTGGAGGATCCGACCGGCTCCGAGCGTTGCGAAGGCCTTCGGCGAGAAGCTTTGCCTCGCGGTTTGGCTGTTTCGCGGTATGGAAGTGGCTTCCATTCTGAACTGATCTTTACCCCGTGTTTGCTGTCGTTTGTGGCCAATGAAATGTCATGCCGAATTAGTCCTTAATCGCACAGCAAATGCAATGAGCGCGCTCTACAACATCCTTTAGTGCCTATCCAC